GAACCAGGAATAATTTACTGACTGACACCCCCTCAGCAGTCTGATAAGATGCCAACCATTTCTCCATGATGCTATCACTTACACATCTCCCATGCCCAATTCCCATGTTCTTTCAGACCAGCTAAAAGGCTGGGACCCAGACTGGACTTACAATGTTACCTGTTTCCAGTGCAAATAGAGAAAGAATCACTGTTTTTTATGAGTATCTTGCCTTCAGAAGTTGTCCCCCTCCCTTTCCTAGTGCTCTGTTGGTAACTGGAGGTATTTGTGTGTGTTTTTGAGTGCTTGTGTGTAACTGTGACATTCAACTTCATGTTCTGATGGTGCTTCTCAAAATAACTTGTAAAGTCCTCTTCAGTTAAAAAATCTGTGCACAGATTTTGTTAGTCTTTAAAACAGAAGGTGTTTTCTCTCATCCCTCCCCCTTTCTGCCAGGAGAGTGGATCAAAAGTTGAGCCAATGGGAGGTGACAGGAAGCTTCTTAAGATATTCCTCTCCTAAACCTCCCATGGCAAGCAGGGCTGTAACATCACTTCAGCTGCATACTTTCAACACACCAGAAAACTGCAGAAAACCCATACAGAAGGGCAGAGATTAAACAAAAACAAAAACAAAAGGTCCAACTTCCAAACTCCCTTGGTTTTGGTGTTTCCCTGTCAGGTGTCCAGTTCAATGATTTGCCAAATCACTACACTAACAACACAGCCAAATACTGCTAAATCATGGCCATTTTCCACATCATGAGTCTGAGAGAGGAGACAGCTACAGATCACTTCTGTTATCTTGACAGATGTATTTTTCAAAACACCTGAATTTAGCACTGGTAACAACTGTCTGTTTATAAGACCTACAATTTGGAGAATTCCAGTGGAAATGGTAAATGCACAAATAAGTAGCCACTGCCAAAGACCAACAGTAGGTTTCATTTCCATTATTGATTCGGACTCCACACTCCAGAGCCTGCTCTGCCTGCTCTTTTTGCATGGAATTCTTTGCTTCCAACTCTTAGAGGGGTGTGTGTGACAGATTGCTCTGCCCATCATGTGGGAGAATAGAGACTGGTCCCCAGTGCTGCAGCTCCTCTGCATCAATAACCTGATAAGACTAGAGGCTTTACCCATCCAGATCAGGGTCCTTGTCTTCAAAATGTTAGAAGGCAATTATCTTCCAACAATGATTACCAATTATAACATCTGACATATCAGTAAACAGTTTTTGATTCCATTTGTTAAAGAAGTAATCTTTCAAGAGGTAATTTGCTGAAGAGGCTTGAAGGAAGAGGAATGAGTGGAGAGTGCAGAAGATTATGTGAGATGCTGGCATGAGAACTAGGGATGAGTGCAGGAAGGTGACACACAGATGAACAGGGACAGGATGACTGAAGTGAGCAGAGGGCTGACTTTGGGGATGGCATGACTATGGGAAAGTTCCCAGTTATAAATGTACCAAAATAAGCTCTATGCAATGCTTGACTAATTCATCCCATGCTACAGCCTCTGTTCATGCTACTAATTTAGATTTCTCTGTCATTTTTTATCTCTGGTTGCTATAAATCTTTCACACCAACATGAATGCCCCATGCCTAACATTATTTCCACAGTTGTTATTCTGTTCTCTGGACTATTTCAAGGGTTTTTAATACAGATTCCATGTACTATACTGGTGGTACAGCCCTCATTCACTGGAGTACCTCTTTGAATCAATAGCTCATCACCCATCCAGCTGATCTAATAAACTGAGGACTCCTCTGGCACAGTCGGATCCCCAGGAAGGATCATCTGTCCCTCTGTTGTGCCTTCCAGCTGCTGCTTGGTTGTGGTTGGAAGACACTCTTAGTTAATGGCCCCTGAGAGGTGGTGGTAGCAACAGAGGCACATCTGTTGGAGAAACCTCATGTTGGGTCAGTCTGGGGGTTTGCTTTGAATTTTGAAGGGGAAGAGTTGCATCAAGATACAAATTAGAATATCCATAATTCTGCACTTGTCAGTGCTAGTGGGACAGTCTTGTCCTAGTGGCTAAAGAGTAACTCCTCTCTCTCCCATGCAGCTAGAGAGCAATTAATACCATGTTATCATGGCTTACTTGCCCTCCCCACCCTATGACCTGAATAACTCAAATGTTCATCTCCCTAAGTGATTCTGGGATGAAGCTTTAGTTTGGGATGAAGTGAAAAATATGTTTGTCTTTTTTAGTCTTAATCCTTTCTTCAGTCTGTCCAGGCAGAACCAAGTAGCTGATTTAGTGTTTCTACATGTGTCAGACACAGATGTGTTTTGTTACACATGTGAATATTCGTGCTTATTCATGTTTACAAGTATTTCACACCTCTAAGTGGTGGGTTTTTAAACCTTTGTCCCTCTTTTACTGTTTTCCCCCTTGCTAGTGTAATAACACCACTTCCTAAACCCTGCCCTTTTCCTAGATACTGACCTCATCATCTCTGGGTGCTACTCTGCTAATAAAAAAATAAAGACATGTGGATTATGGGATCCTTTATAGACCTTTATGGAACTCATCTGGCTCGGCTGGAAGGGGTCATGTAAACCTTCTCCATCCGGTGGAGTCTGTGGTTTCACACCCAACAAATGTCAAAGCAGAACTCAGCTGCAACCGCCAAGTTTTGTCTGTGTTTGGGTTAAGCCATAAAAGAACCCACCAAGTTCCACGTCAGTCCTTTCAGAGCTGCATAAAAACCACCCAGGTTCAGTGAAGAGGTCAAGAATCTGGTGAACATTTTGGCAAATATGGCTGGAACAGAGGCTCAAGAAAACCACATTTTTTTTCAAACTTGGTACAGCCTGACCAACCTGATCGCTGGTCCATCCTGATGACAAATAGTTTTTGTTCCTTGTAGCTCTTACTTTGTATGGAAACATTCAGAATAAAAACAAAAGCACAATCTGTAGTCCTCTTCAGGCATTTGGACTGCACTCCAAGGTTTCTGAGAACAAAAGGACTGTGGTGAAGAGGATTATCACCCATAAGCTGAGTGGAGCTGAGGAGGCACCACTTCTTCAGCTTGAAGAGGAGGGAGAGCAGAAAAGGTGAAAGCCTTTTCACCTGAAAGCTCAGTGATGACACCAACTCTGGTACAACCCTCCAGGGTGTGCCCCTCAGGGCCATGAGGGCTCTCACAGAAGTTAAGTCCCCTGCCTTACCCAAGGTCAGGGCATGCCTGCAGGCTTTGGCAGGTGAAAACATGGCATGCAAAGGTACAACGGGGCTGTGCTTGGCACCTGTGGGTTTTCTGGCAGCAACATAATTTTGGACATCAGCTGAAGGCAAACAAGTGTAATACCGATCAAGGAGGACCAGACCTGTGCTTCTAATAGTCAAGACAAGTGACTAGAATTTTTTCTGGTTCACCTTCAAAGTTGAAGGTAGAAGTCAAACATTATGTTATTTCCTGTATATGATGTCCTGATAATGTTTAAAGTCTTCCACTTACTTATACTCTTTCAGAAATAAAAGTTAGGCAAAAAGTATTATTTAAACACAATTAGAAATATCTTAGGACAAATGTGGGAAGAGACAAACTGATGAGTGTGTTCCTCACCACCAGCTTTTCAGCATCAAAACTAAATTCTACCAAACCTTCTTCTGAAGTTCAAAAAGTTCAAACTTCTGCCATTGACTTGGTTTGCCACTTCTTTTTATCATTAGTTTTAGCCCTCTCCACATCTGTGCTCTGGTGTGGAGTAATGGTCACAGAATATGAGAGTTTCCCTGCAAATATAAGTCCATTCTCCTCATGCCAATGGATTTATTCCATTACAGCACTTTACAGCTGGGCCCCAGTGCCCTTAAAACACCCAGACCTCTGCCACATTCTCAGACTTGCGTGTACTTGGAAAAAGTATTCAGTTCCCTCCCTGACTGAGGTGTCCCTCAGCTTTTGGCCTTCATTTCACAAGGGTCTCAGGGAAAAACCCAAAGCCTTGATCTCTGACAGCCAAAGCACCCTGTAAGTCGGTTCCTCTTTGCTCAGATGAAATGAAATGTTTTGCCTTTTTCTCATGCAGTTTCAATGAGATCTTATGTCTCACCACACTCAGTTGTGCTGGAGGCACAAGACTCACCTGAGCCTTGAATTTGAGGGTTGTCATCCAAATCAAAATGGGACACAAGAAGAACAGGCTACAACCCCACTGAGAAGCTGGATGGTATCACAGCAGGTGCCCCTGTGAGAGCCATACACTACAACACTGGCCAGCAGACATAGCAGGGGTGCTGACTGGGCAGCCCTCGGGGAAGAGAGAAAAGGTCAGGAACTGGCTGAGGATACCCAGCTGGGTGATGAGGAAAATAATGATCTCAGTGCTGGAAAAAGATATACATGATGTCCCCAATGAAATAGTATCAGATGTAGGATAAATGGAAAGGGATTGATTTAACTTCTGCCAGCTAACAGCTTGTCAGGCCAAGGTCCTGTATTATTTTCTTTGAATAGGTTTCCTGCCTCCAATCACTGCAGTATTTTCTTTCCAGTATGATAACAACACTAAAATGTATCACTGCCACATATTGGAAGGCCAGTGCCGTATGCACAGTACTTCCATCAATTTGGGAGCCTCCCATTACTTAAGCTTTTGGGAAGTCTGCAGAGGGATTTTTCTGAGCTGATTTTATTTCCCTTTTGATTGGCCATATTATGCACCCCACAGTTATCATGGCAACCTCTAACAAGACAACATTTGGAAATATTTTTTCACGGCCTTGATGGATGGCTGTGCAGGGACCTGGGCCACTGCTGGGTATGAAGTTGCACAGATATGAGTGACTTCATCTACAGGTCACTAGAGATTTCATGGCCCTTGCCAGTTGCTCTTCAACATGCAGACCATGGTTGCTCTAGAGCATCACTGTTGAACTCTCGTGGGCAGATCATGGAGGGTTATAAAGCTTTGCAGGAGCGCAGCGAGAAAGGTAAAAGCGAGAAAGGTAAAAGCAAAAACCCCCACCAGTCCATCCCTGCAGCACCACAGAAGAGATACCCTTACCTACTCGGAGCTCTTGTCCAAAGACTGTTTTCTCTCCCAGGGCAGAGCAGTTCCACCTCCCGTAGCGGAACTGGTACTGGCACTCATTGATGCCCATCTGCGCCCCCTCCCCGATCACGATGATGGCATCGGGGCGGCTCTGGCAGATCGCGCGCTGCCGGGGAGCCAGGCCGGGGATCTTGTTGCAGATTATGTTGGCTCCTAAAGCCACCACAGATGACAAAGCTCTGAGGAGAAAAAGCAGAAAGGCACGTTATAACCAAGCTGAGGTCGCTGTTGGATTTGCCATGTGCTGCTGCGTGGCTGGCAAGGTGGGGTTGGAGGGTGGGTTCTTTATGCCAGCTTATCCCAATGCCTCTGGTCTAGTAAAAGAGGCTGGAACTGTTGAGGTAATTCCTGATCAGATTTGTGCCAGAAAAAACAAACAAATGGAATTTTGTCGCTTTTGCTTCTAGAGCCATCAATTCATTAGACGTGGAAAGCAAGACTTATTTAAAAACAAAAAATAGCGATAATTGGTTATTCATAAATCTCTGAAACTCATGTCTGCTTTGAATGTAGATTCAGGTTCAGTGTTTTAGTTACTGCAGCCAGTTCATCCATCCCTCACTGGAAACTGTTAAGCACAATTTAGAGAATGCTTGACACTACCAACTCTTTTGCCCATTATTACACTCAGATTATTGAATGATTAATGAAGTTCACCAGCATAACTGTGCTTTTAGATCTGGCAAACATCATGGTGCACATAGGAATGATCATTAATATGTGCCATCCAGACTAGAAGCATTTGCAGATCTCATTCTTCAAGTATATTTTCAGAATTCATTATAAGGTTTGCATATAACTTGCACCTGCCATATGTTTTCACTGTAGCATGTTTATTTTTCATTTTTCAGCTCACTTTTCAACATCTCTACTGGCTCATTTTTCAACATCTTTACAGGCTACATTTTAAATGCTAATATTTGGGGAAAAAACTAAGACAACAAGGGTGCACCTTGGGTCACATCTCCCAGGTACCAGCCAGTCCCATGAGGAGATGCTTGAACTGGGTCTGCACAAGTCAGCAATGGCACAGAACAGCCTGGAAAAGCCCCTGCCCTGCTGCCTTTGGGGGCAAACCAGGGTGCTGAGTCTCACTGCTTCCTGTAAGGAAGTATCCCCACAAACCCTTTCCCCTTTTAGCTTGGTATTGGATCATCTGGGTAATTTCCTTTTCCCAACAAATGCCTCTGTAATGCCAGATCATGCTGCAGCAGCCTGGCTTTAAGTGGAGTTCCACAGTAACAGTCACCATATCTAAAGAGGTCAGTAACAGGACACAGATCAACCTCCCCAGTGTCTTCCTTTCCATTTTGAACACCAGCCTAAGCCTTTCTTCTTAGTGTTAAAAACTTCCCACTGGAAATGTTCCTTTTGGAAAATGCTGGCAAAACAAAATTAAAGAATTTCATAGGAATTTATCAACTTCATCACAAAAGTAACTGCAAAATTAGATAAATGCTGTATTTCAATGAAATCAGAGTGTTTCATTTTGCCATTTCAATAAATTACAGCAAAAAGGGTGGAGAACTCTTCCCTGGGCAAGATGAAATATTGCTGTTACTGTGGAATGGGAATTCCATCCTGATTCACCCTGCCTTTAACAGGCATTTGTGCATCTTTTCCAAAGTCAGCAACCCACGAGAAATGCACCAATCGTGGTTTTTTATCTCTGGCTTGCAGGGGGTTAGAGATATGGAGCCAAGGTATCACAAACCCAGAAAGCATCCCTGTGGTGCTGCCTACTAAACAAAAATGGGAACAAAATGCAGTTGCAGCTCTGACCACTTGCAGTGTTTGGAGCAGGAGCACTCAGGCCTGTAGCTTTAATCCCTGTCCCTCTGGGTACTGAGCAACAATAGGAGCATCAACTGGAACCAGAGAGTCTCCAAGATTCATGAAGGTTTTGAGCTAAGGTTTTGTTTCTGGCAGAAAGTGTTTCTCCACTTTAAAAAATTAATAAAATATCTAAATTATGATGTCTTTAAATCAGGACTTCCCAAGAGATATGATAATCTTAAAAAATATTAAGAGTTGGATGTAGAGGTAAGATTCTCTTTGCAATGGCTTATGACCTTTATAATCTTTATCTGACAGTCCTTGACTTACTTACTTAGGCTATGCCATCAACTTACTGGCAAAAATTATATATGAAAATTGGTTGTATATATGATATAAATATTTTTTAAAATATTAAAAACTGATAAAAACAATGAGAGACTTCCTGACATCATTTTTTTCAAACTGGTGAGCCTCCACAGTTTCCACTAACTATTATCTCAAGTTAGTTGAGCAGCAAAACCTTATGACTTTCAAAACAAAAGAAAGCAAGGAAAAGTTGGCCACAGCATCTAACCCACATATAATTTTCAGTTTAGTTGCTTCCTCCATACACATCACTACTGTCTCATAATTAGGTTAAAGAGTGTATTCTTTGGTCACCTATTGTTTTTGGAGCAGGCCTTGGTCAAAGTATTTTAATATAGTGGGTCATTTTATTCATCCAGAAAATAAGCATGATCATATCTGCCCCAGAAGGTATTGTGAGGATATTGTCATTATTATATGTTTGTAATGTGTATTAAAACAATTAAACTGCAATTATTGGGGGTAGAGGGTCTTAGTTTTTCTATTATTACTTCCAGGAACTTCCCCCTCTCTGGCCTGAACTTACCAGCATATTCCCTCAGACTTGTTTAGCCTACTTTTAAATTGTTGCTACCATTTCAGTGCCAAAAAAAAAGCTGAATCATGAAACTGAGGTTTTGGAAAACTTTATTTATATTAAACAAATGCACCCAACAGCATTTCAAGTTTCCTCTCCTCTGTTCCTGCGGCATCCCTCAGTGTGTGCCTCCGTCACACGCTGCAGGGCTGTGCTGTGCCCCTGCCCCTCAGCAGGTTGGAGGAGACACTATTATTTTTTTACAAAATGGAGAATGTTTCACTTTTTAGCTGTCAAAAGGCAGATCCTCACCCCACATTTTGGAATCTTCTTCCATCTAATCTTTCTCTGCAGTGCAAAATTCCTCGATTCTTATCACCCTGATAACTCCTGAGTGCAGCCCTTTGTGAGGATTCCTGGTGCCTTTACAGTGATTGTGTCCATCCCACACCAGGCAGCCCCACAGCTCCTCTTGGGTCACCCTTGTGGGTCACCCAGTTCAACACCATCCACACAGTTTATCCAGCTAAGCAGAGCTACTGCAGTAATATCACAGTTCCTAAGGCACTGCCTTTATTATCTGACACACGCAGAGTCTTCACCTTTCTCCATCCCTTTGTCATTAATCCAAAGGAAAAAGCGGCACTGGAATTGAGCAATGGTTATAAACAGTTACACCCAAATCAGGAAAAAAAAAAAAAAAAGGAAAAAATTAAAAAAAAAAGGGAAAAAAAAGGAAAAAAAACCCACCACAGATCTGGGCTTGGATAGGACCTTGCAGTTCAAACTTCCATCAAACTAAACCTGAGGAACAAGGTTTTGGAAGGCCTGGTTTCTGCATCAGGATCCTGAAACATCAAGTTTTTCATTCTTTGAAAGAATATCTGGGACTGTCACAGCAAGCAGAAGTTTGTGGCAGTGGGAAACAAATTCCAGCTTATTTTCTGAAATAATGCTTGTTTACTTATGAAAACACAGACAAATCCTGTCACTAAAAAGAAAATTCTCCCTCAAAATATATTTCCTGTTATGGTTGTACCTTCCCTCCAGGACCTAAACAAGTTCAGCTTCCCTTTTCACACAGCAAAATGAAAATTATTATATATTTCAAGCAACTCATAAAAGTAAAGGTCTTTGAAACACTTCAGAATTAAACACTAGGACCTAAAATCATGTGACTTTTAAGAATGTAAAATATAATTCAATACTGCTGGTTGGAAGAGAAATGTAACCATTCACAGTTTGCTTTCTTGAGTCTCAGTTTTATATTTGCAAATGTAAGTATTCGATTAACTTGAACACGAGTCATTTGAGTGATTTCAAATGTTCTGTCCTTGCAACTTCACATATAGGACGGTCATCACATAAGTATTTTATAGAGAGTCTTAGAGTCTTTGCACGAGCGGAAAACTATATAAAGTAAATCCTGATCACATCAGGGAAAAAAATCTAATTTTTATTCTTGTAATCTGAATTCTGATAAAATGATGAAACAGAACTGTGTACTTATACATGAAGAGCAGAAAATAGCCAGTCCTTGGAGGTGTCCCCAAGCTCTTGTACAGGCAGCCTTCCTGCAACTCTGGGACAAGCACACGAGAGGCACTGTGATCCCACCCGACCTGCTGCTTGTAGTCCCCTAGAGCTGCTGCTGGGCAGGGCTTGTTTTCCGCAGGGAATGCAGGGATTCAGCTCACGCCTTCCGTGAACGCCAATGGAGCTGCGCAGCCCAAACCTGGGCACTGCACTCAAAACCTGCCCCCCTGCCTGACGGAAAATCCTCACAAGGGGCTCTTTGTTGGGAGGAATCACCGAGGCATGTTGTGGTGACACTGCGACACATGTGAAACTGGACACCCCCACCAAATGGGGTACTTCATTAGCAATTCCTAAGTCAATATTTTGACCATGTATCGCTTGCAGAAATTGGCAGGAGCGTCCCGGGCTCTGAATGGCACCTGCATACGTTTAGGCTTTCAGTTTTGTTTTGCACCCCTGGCTTTGGGAAATCCTTGTTCCGTGCGTGTGTTATTGAAAGGCAGATGCAGGAAGGCTGCTGGCACAGCCCTGGGTGCTTTCCCTGCTGCTGCAGCTCCCAGACAAGCCTTTGGACCTGGGGGCTGTGAGCAACACGTTTGCTCACTTCAGATGGAAGTGAGAGGTTTCTTGGAGGAAGTAACCCAAAAAAAGTGCCTGATGGGTGATGTAGTTCAGCTGTTGGCATGGTCAAGAATTAAAGTGGTGGGATAAGTGAGAAGAGGGATGACTCACACAAGGACAGAGCTTGAGAGAGGAGTGGGAGCGAGGACCTCATCCCTGTAATGCCCTAGTGCTGCGAGGAGCATCGGCAAAGCCTTAGATCCACAGCCTCACCCTCCTGCCAGCCGGGAGGGATGGGAGGGACGCTGGGAAGCCAGCAGGGAATTATTTGGTCTCAGCAGGAAGGAGGGGAGATACTGACTCACAGGGAGATGTGCACAGGCCACGGCCTCTCAAGAATTCTCACTGTTCAGTCCA